GGGGGGGGAGGAAGGAGGAGAGGGAGAGGGAGAGAGAGATGCATGAAGACACATATGCAAAGTGTCAGGTAGAGGGTACCTGGAAACAAAGAGGGATCACCCTACAGCATTTTCTATCTTTCTACTCATTCATATTCATAGTCCTTGAATTGCTTTCCCCATTCATCTCTTTTTTGGGGACATGAAATCAGGGTTGTCCCTGAACTTTTTCATCAAGGCTAACACTCTACCAATTGAGCCATAGCTCCACTTCTGGCTTTTTTGGTGGTTAATTGGATATGAGTCTCATGGACTTCCACAACTAGCTCTGAACCATGATCTTTAGATTTCAACCTCCTGAGTAGTTAAGATTACAGGCATGAGACACCAGCATCCAACTCCTTTCCCATTCATCTCTGTGTCTCATCCCTGATCTTATATTTCCTGCTGCTCCCATGGTATGGTAGGTATACAGTCCACCAAAGTGACAGAAAGGATTGGTGACAGCAAAAAGTGAAAGGATGGAAAAGAAAAATTAACCTTTCAATACAGATCCATAACCTCCATACAGATCCATATAAGTCTCCAGAATAAATCGTGAATAAAGAGATAGATGAGAAGGTAGGTATATGGCTGGCTGAATGAATGACTGGGTAGATGGATGGCTGAATAGATAAGTGGGTGGATGGTTAGAGAGGTAGATGGGTGAATGGATGGGCAGATGGATGAGTGGATCCATACATGGATGGATGGAGAGTTGAGAGTTAATATGGAAAGGAAGAAAATATAAGTACATATATACATAGACAAATGGATAGGTGGAAGAATGGATGAATAGATGGACGGGTGAAGCGGTAAATAGATGGAATAGATGAATTGATGGGTGGATGGACAGATGGATGGATGGATAGGTAGATGTATGGGTGAATAAGTGGATAGCTAGGTTTACGAATTGTTAATGGATGGATGGATGGGTGAAGGGATAAGTGGGCAGATGGATGAATGGATAGATGAGTAGGTGGATGAGCAGATTGATAGACAGATGGATGATGGATGGGTGGATAGATCAGCCGATATATGAACAATGAGTGGATAGCGGCATGGTACATGCAGAGATGGGTGGACAGAGTGAGTCACGAGGTAGGACAATAGTGTGGGACTGTGGGAAGGTCCGTGGAGCTTGGCAGAGTACGATCCACAGAGGTACCCACCCTATGCCCATTGAAGACATAGGCCAACTCATCAGCTCCCAGCTCTACATCCGGTCGCAGTTCAGGCCTCGCCCAGCCCACTCGCATCTCGCCCGTGGTAACTGCCTCGAACTCAAAGTACCAGCGGCCACTCTGTACCACATAGGATTTTTCTGCCCTGAAGATGCGTGTCCGGTCTCCTCGAGACTGGTTCTCTGCTTGGCCTACCAATGAAGCCAGGCAGAGTTAGAGAGACTGGGCAGGAAATAGATCCAGAGGTTATGGTCTAGGGTTAAAGGTCAAGATTAAGGGCAACATGGACATCTGTAAGAAAGGACTACATAACAACACATTTAAAGTGACAACAGTTGAAAAGGAAAAGAATAAGGTCAATCAAGGTTTAGAGTCAAGCACTCACTGGGCTCCTGGTCAGGTGGTTCAATGTTGTAACCATAACCCAGCAGGGTACGCACAGCCTGGCAGAGGCTGTCTCGGTTGCTGCGCTTGGTGGCCTCATCAAGCAGGCGGTAGGGTACTAGGCGAGGGTTTCTGCGAGCAGGGATGTCCTGCACAGCACTATAGCTCCAGCCCTGGGCCACACGGTCTCTTGCCCACACATTGTGTCCATTCTCTGCTAGCCGATCCACCAGTGTCGTCTGTGCTGGTGTCAGACGCACGTGGCTCAGGTCCAGGGGGGCAGGCTTGTACCCATTGCTCATCATATACCTGCAGGTGTGGTGAAGTGTATGTGGGTTAAGACTCTCCCCTCAATCTCAGGGATCTGGGCTGCAAGATCTTCAGCTTGTCCCTGGGCTGAAGGACCTTTAGCCTTGAGCTTTGGGATATCTGACAGTTCTAAAACTGCAGAGAACATGCTTTGAAATCTTGATTTCTGACTCCCAGGATGCTGAGTCCCTGGCCATCACTTACCTTTCACCCTGGTTCTGGGAGCCTCAGCTTTGATCTTGGCATGACACTCATTGATTTTTCACTGTTAGTGTGGCCCTCTCCCTCTCCCTCTCCCTCCCTTCTTCCTTCCTACCCGGTCCCCCCCCCCCGCCCTCATTGTTGGTCTGGGGCTTGAACTTAGGGTCTGGATATTGTCCCTGAGCTTTTTTACTCAAGGCTTGTGCTCTGTCATTTGAGCCACAGCTCCACTTCTGGCTTTTTTGGTAGTTAAGTGGAGATAAGAGTCTCATGGACTTTCCTGCCCAGACTGGCTTTGAACCAGGATCATCAGATCTCAGCCTCCTAGGTAGCTAGGATTATAGTCATAAGCCACTGGCACCCAGCTTCACTGTTAGCTTTCTTACTTCTGACCCCAAACCCAATCTTTCCAAATCTCCTGGCTTTAGAGTCTATGACCTCTGACTCAGGACCTCTAATTCCTTGCCTATAATTCTAGAATATCTTACCCCTCCAGAATCATCTTAATTCTTGTCCTCTGCCATGACCCTTTGTCTCTAAAGTGAAATTTCCGAGGGCAGACCCTAATCCAGAATCCTAGACTTACTCCTGCCTTCCTTCTCTGGAACTCGTAACCGCTCCATCCTGAACACTCACCTTTGACCCTGGACACCTGACCCTACAACCTTCACTCTAACCCATGCCCCTGCATCTCTGGCCTCAGACTTACCCATAAGGCTCTTCAGCCTTTTCAGCTTTCATAGTACACCCTCAGTCCCCAGACAGGCCCACAGACACCCATGCTCACGTTTTGGGGAGTTTTGTCTTCTTCAGGTTGTCCTCTGCCTTCTCATCAGCCATGCCCACATGGCAGCCCAGCGCCAGCAGAGTCCTGGGTTAAAGAAATGGGGCCACAAGGTCATAGCCCATAGTTTCCTCTCTCTGTCTCCTCTATCTCTGAGTCTCTAAGCTCTCTCTCTCTCTCTCTTGCTCTCCTCTCTCTCTCTCTCTCTCTTCTCTATCCTGTCCTCATCTTACTCGGTCTCTCTGATTTTTATATTTCCATTTCTTCATCTCAGTATCTCTCTGCCTACGGCCACTATCTTCTGGATTCTTCTCTTTTTCCTATGTCTCTTTGCCTTTCCATTAATGCCTTTTTCTGTCTTGGTCTCAATCTTTCTTTGCCTTCCTTCCTTCCTTCCTTCCTTCCTTCCTTCCTTCCTTCCTTCCTTCCTTCCTTCCTTCCCTCCTTCCTTCCTTCCTTCCCGCTTGCCTACCTTTCTCTCTCTCTCACTCACTCACACTCTCTCTTTCTGTCTTTCTTCTTTTCTTTTGAAACAATATTTTTGCTATGCTTCCCAAGTTGGTCTTGAACTCCTAGGTTCAAGGGATTCTTTTGCTTCAGCCTCCCATATACCTGGAACTGCAGGTGTATGACACCACACCCAGCTTATCAATGTCTTTTGCTGTTTCTTTCTCCTCTATCAGTTTCTATTTCATAATCCCTTTCTCTCTTTCTTTCTCTCTTTCTCTCTTTTCTTCTTTCTTTCTTTTCTTCTTTCCTTCTTTCTTTTTCTTTCTTCCTTTCCCTCCCTTCCCCACTATTCTTTGCCTCTTCCTCTCCTACCCTCCCTTCCTCTTCCTTTCCTTTTGTTTTTTGTTTTCTGTATTGAAGACCAAACCCAGGGCCCTTGTGCATATCAGGTAAGTACTCTGTCATTGAGCTACAACCATAGCCCCTTTGGTGTCCTTCTGTCAGTAACTGTCCCTCCTTGCCCTTCCTCCTGACTAGAAGTCATTCCAGACCCTTGCTCCCCAGAAATCCCTCTTACTTGAGCGTCTCCCCTGACATCTGCAGGTTGTAATTTCTCTCAGGCTCTGGCAGGCTGTGGAAATCCACAAGACACGGATGCAGCCTCTTGTTGTCATCTCGAACCTGGAGAAACCCTGGAGTCAATTCCTTGGGCTCCCCTTTCCTCTGCCAGCTCCCAGACAGTGACCCCTGACCCCCCCCCCTCCTCGTTTACACTTATACCACTGGAAGCTTGAGGACCTTCCAGTGCCCTGAAGTCCCTAGACACCAACCCTCCCTGCAAGTGAACTTATTCTTGCTCTTCACTCTAGAAGTGAGCAACTCCTCACCTGGCCATAGGTCCAGCCCTGCTCGATGCGAGTCAGCGCCCAGAGTTCATGGATGTTTTCTGCTAGCTTCTCCCGAATGCGTTCCAGATGAGGAGGCAGGACAATCTAGGGTCAGGGGGACATTCGTGAGGTCCCTAAAATTCTACCATCACCTCCAGATCAACTCGAATGGAAAATCAAAATCATCGGGGGAGCCTCATCCCAGAAGACTATGCAGACACCAAGTCACATAAAGCAAAGTTTATTGTCACCAAGCTGACAGGCTGACCCTCCCAGGTAGGGACAGCTCTTGTCCTTGAGTTTATATGGGGGTATATATGGCTAGAGAACTGGGGATGGAGAATTTCACTAGGGGCCCCAGTACTCTGCAGTCTGGTTTGTGTGAGATGTGGAGTTTGTGAGGTATGTGAGAATGGGGGATTTTGTTGTGGTGGGGCTAAACTTTATGGTTGCAGCTGCCTGTGTCAATGATAAGGCCTGAGTCAGCTAAATTCAGGGAAGGGCCTATGTCACCAGATTTCAGGAAAGGCCATGCTTTACAGCAGGGTCTAAGATAGCAAAGTGGCTCCTAAGGTAGAGGAGGTTAGGCTAATAAAAACCTTTCTTTCCCTAGTCCTTTCCTCTCTCCATACTGAGGCTTGAATTCAAGGACTTTTTTGTTCAAGGCTATCACTCTACCAACTGATCCTCTACTTCTGGCTTTCTGGTGGTTAATTGGAGATAAGAGTACCCTGTCAAGGCCAGCTTTTGAACCTTGATTCTCAGATCTCAGCCTCTTGAGTAGCTGGGATTACAGGTGTGAGCCACCAGTGCTCAGCTCCTTTCTTCACACAACACTTAACTCCTGACACTTACTTTATAAAGAGTCTCTGATGGCCTTGGAATGTGGCTCAGTGGTAGAGTACTTGCCTAGCATGGATGAACCCCTGGGTTTGATTCCTCAGTACCACATAAACAGAAAAAGCTGGAAGTGGTGCTGTAGCTCAAGTGGTAGATTGCTAGCCTTGAGCAAAAGCAGCTCCGAAACAGTGTCCAGGCCCTAAGTTCAAGCCCCATGACTGGCAAAAAAAAAAAAAGGAAAGAAAAGAGTTCCTGAACATATTTATGCAAAATATTTAATATTCTAGTTGAGATGAATGCCAAGCATACAATGAGTGTCTAATAAATGTTGATGTTTGGCAGTGCTTTGCTGGCAAGAGATATTGATGGTTTGGACCAGAGAGGGAGCTCCAGGAGCCAGAGCAGACAGCCTGTGGGCAGGAAGCTGACCGGAAGACCTAAAGTCATCTGACTTCTAGAAATACATTGAGTGCTTGCTATTTACTCAGGACTGTGCTCAGTTCTCAGCCATAGCACAGTATATAAGAACATAGGCTTCAGAATCAGATCCTTGCATTCAAATCAGCACTTGTCACTTGCATTCAAGTCAGCATTTGTCCCTTCATCTCTCTGGCTTTCAATTTCCTCAACTGTAAATTAAAGGCAATAACATGCTAGTTCTTTCTTTCCCTCCTTCCCTTCCTTCCTTTCTCTATCTCTTTCTTTTTTTTTCAGTATGGGGTTTAAACTCAGGCAATCCTTGCTACAGGCTCTCTACTACTCAAGCCATACCTCCAACCCTTTTTCCTTTAGTTATTATATTTGGGGGGGAGGGGTCAGTTGTGAGGCTTGAACTCTGGGCCTTGGCACTGTCCCTGAGTTCTTCAGCTCAAGGCTAGTGCTCTACCACTTGAGCCACAGCACCACTTCCAGTTTTCTGGTGGTTAACTGAAGATAACAGTCTCATGGACTTTTCTGCCCAGGCTAGCTTTGAATCTCGATCCTCAGATCTCAGCCTCCTGAGTAGCCAGGATTACAGGCATGAGCCACCAGTGCCCAGCTAGTTACTATTTTTATTTTCAGTTGTGGGACTTGAACTCAGGGTCTAAGCACTGTCCCTGGGCTCTTTTGCTCAAGGCTAATGCTCTATCATTTTTGAGCCACAGTTCCACTTCCAGGTTTTATTTGTTTGTTTGTTTGTTTTTTGCCAGTTCTGGGGCTTGTGAATTTAGGCCTGGGTACTGTCCCTAAGCTTCTTTTGCTCAAGGCTAGCACTTTACCACAGTGCTACTTTGGGCTTTTTCTATGTATGTGTACTGAGGAATTGAACCCATGGCTTCATGCATGCTAGGTAAGCACTCTACCACTGAGCCACATTCCTAGCCAGTGGAGATAAGAGTCTCTCCTGGGAACTTTTCTGCCCTTGGTTGGCTTCAAACCATGATCCTCAGATCTCAGACTCCTGAGTAGCTAGGATTACAGGCATGACCCACCAGCACCTGGCCAGTTATTATTTCTTTTAATAGGATCATGCTTGCTTTTTTTCTCCTCCCTGAGGATGGCTTCAGACAAAGATTCTCTTACCTATGCCTGCCTCATAGCTGAAGTTACAAATGTGAACCATCAAATCCAACTTATCCATTTAGTGGGGTCTTGCTAACTTTTTTCTTTCCTAAACTAGCCTTGAACATTAATCTCTACTTCCTGAGTAGATTAGATTACAAGCCTGTACCACCATGCCCAGCCTCACCATTCTATTTTTTTTTCTCGGTTGTGAGGCTTGAACTCTGGGCCTGGGTGCTGTCCCTCAGCTCTTCAGCTCAAGGCTAGCACTCTACCACTTGAGCCAAGTTACCCACTTCCAGCTTTTTCTGTTAATGTGGTGCTGAGGAATCGAACCCAGGGCTTCATGCATGCAAGGCAAGTGCTCTACCACTAAGCCATCTTCCCGGCTCCTTTTTTCTTTTGAAATGAGACCACAGAGTAGAGTCCCTGAAACTAGAATTCTGCCTTGAGAGAGCCCTTTGCCTCCTGTTGCACTGCCTCAGATTCGCCATCTGTTTTACACAATGAGATTCTCAGCATCCAGCTTGACTCTAGGCATCTTTGGCATCTAAGAGAGCAATACCTCACCAGAATACCCTGGCAGGGCAGGCAATACCTGGACAGTGTCCACAGGACAGGGCACGAAGTCAGTGTGTGAGAGGCAGCGACTGGGTCCCACCAGGTGGGGTCCCCGGGGACCTTCCCGTCGATACTCCTTGATGGGTTCAAGATGGAGTCGCTCTCGAGGTAGCACAGCCTCATGGCATGGGGCATAGCCAGGTGGGGGGAGGAATTTAAATTCCCCATGGCGGCCACCAAGGAGAAACCGGACTCTGAAAGAAGAGAAAGAGGGTTATGGTGTGGGATATAGAGGACAGTCTGCAGTTAGTGGGGGACACAGCAATTCTAGGCTCAGTGAAAAGTTCTAGGGAGACCTGATGTCCCTGGGAAGTCATGTGTCTCCCTAGGGTTATGGAAATCGTTTAAAAGTCAGAAAGAAAAATCTGAGGGTAAAAGAAATAGCATAGGGAATGTCAATGGACAATCCAGAGGAAAAGTTGTGCTGTCAATAGGGAATTAAGAATCAAAGGGTCTTGCCAGGCACCCATGGCTCATACTTCAATCCTAGTTACTCAGGAGGCTGAGATCTCAAGATCAAGGCTCAAGGCCAACCCTGGCAGGAAAGCCTATGAGACTCTTACCTCCAATTAGCCACAAAAAAAAATTTTTAACTCAGGAGTTGTGGTTCATGTAGCAGAGCTCCAATCTTGAGTAGAAAAGCTTAAGACAGTACCTAAGTCCTCAGTTTGAGCCTCAGTACCAGCACATGTGCACGTGCGCAAGCGCACACACACATGCACAAAAATATACATACACAAAGGTGGATCTGTACTTATTAGAGAAGAATTCCCATCTTGGAAGGCCCTCTGGAGACTCCAGATCAATAGAATATCAGGGAATAGTGAAACATTTTGGAGAAACCAAGAAGAAGGTCTTATATTCTGTTATAATTATGACATAACCAGAATTTCCAGCTTAGGGTCGTTGGGAAGAAGGCTGGGTCCCTGAGAGGTCTTTGGGTTAACTGGGGTTCTGAGCAAATCTGAGCTGACTGGATCATCACTGGGAGATCTTGTCATCATGAGGAGCTAATTGGAAAAGGATGGAGTCATTAGGAGAGTCTGAGGTCACTGAGAAAGTCCTAGGTTTGAGGTCAGGGGGACTTACAAAGTCTGTGGTCATTACAAAGTGATTGTAAAATCCTGGGGCCATTTGAAGGTAACTGGTAGGATATGGGATTGGGAAGAATATGAGGTCATTGGGATCATGGAGAGGTCACTGGAACCTTCATGTCCTAAGGAACTGTTCTCTCCTGGCCTCCGAGGAGGCTATAGAGTGGTCAGAGAAGCTATCAGTCCCCAGACCTGGGATAGACAATGGGGCAGGGGTAAGTCCTCACTTGACACCCGCTGAGAAGCTGACAACTGGGAAGAAGAGCCCATCAAGGTTGAAGGCTTCAAAGACACCTTGAACAGGACAGCCATTGATGCGGAAGGATATGGATGGTACACTAAGATCCAGGCAGCAGCTGACCACATCCTCTGGGGCTAGAAGGTGTTGTCCTGGAGAAGTCACTGGGCGTGCCACATGACCTATACCAGCCAGAGGTCAGAGGTCAGAGGTCCCACAGAATCAATGGTATCAAGAGACCACAGGCAAATATCGGAAGATCCCTTGGAGACTAGACCTTGAGAAACTATAGGTGTTCCTATAGTTCTAAAATTAGGGGGCAGAGGTTAAGGGGGGGGTCTCCTGAGGTTACATTCCTGGGAACTGTGGGTCACAGATTAAAGACACAGAGTTTAGATTATGGAAACTTTAGGATCAGGATTCAAAGCTCGGGGGTTAAAGCTCTAGAATCAGAGGTTATACCTCTTCAAGGATCAGCATTTTGGAAGTTATGAGGAAAAAGGGAAGGGTGGGGCTCTGGAAGCTTGAGGGTTAGGGTCTGGAAAAATGAAGAGTAAGGGGACAAAAAAATGCCTCCCCTGGGGTTCAGAATACCCCCTCCCAAACCCCAGGGTATGAGATCAGTCTTGGCAATTTTCTGGGGGTCAAAGATCAGGGTTAAGGAATCTCCTGGGAGAGCCCAAGTACCTGTCCAGAGATGCAGCCCATCAAAGCCATAGGAATAGAGGTCATCGCCGACTCCATTGCCTCCCCAGCCCTCGCCGCCTCCAGGGTAGGGGCTATAGCCCTCAGTGAGGGCCCATCCCACCCGCAGGTGGGTGGCCTGAGCTGTCAGGAATGGAACCACCTCATCCACCATCACCTCAAAGTACCATTTTCCATACTGTGTGGAACCCTCTGCTCGTCCCACAAAGATGTTGGGGCGGATACTGTGGGAATGAAGAAGATAGTCATGTTGTTGGGAGGGAAACAGAGAAACACATACAAAAACAGATTGAGAAGAGACAGACGGGAGAGAAGGGGGCAGAGACAAGGACAAAAAGAAAAAGAAAACACAGAAAGAGAGATAGAGGCAGAAATGGAGCCTGGAAAAGAGAACAGTAGGAGTCTAGGGGTAAACTGGTACAAGGAAGACATCCTGGGAAGGGACCTTGCAAAAAGATACCCACTAAGGTTAGATCACAGTCAGGAAGAGGGTTGAGGAGCTTTTGAGTCTTAGGATAGGGGTAGAGGTCAGCATAGGGGTTAGGAGCCTCACCTGGTAACGTAGTTGATCAGATCTGTCTGCAACAGAAGCTCACGACCTGGGAGCAAGTTCTCAGTAATGAGATCTTGGTTGGAGCGCACGGCCACACCATTACACACACACAGAGAACATAGCACATCCAGGACCTGGAGGTCAATATCAGAGGTTAAAGAGAGTGAGAGAGCAGGGTACTGGGCTACAGGAAAAACAGGATAGGAAGCCAGAAGGGAAGGATGATGTATCTGGACATAAATATGGAGATTTTGCCTGAGAGAAGTTGGTATAAACAAAGGTTAGGGATGACAGGAAAAGGTTAGGGATCAGAGAAGAGGGTCAAGTGAGAGACTAGGGGTTTGTGATAAGGTTTGAGATAAGGCATCAGCAATGTAAGAAAAGAGAGGTTAAAGGGTAAAGTGAAAGGGTCAGTGAGAAATGGGAATCAAAATGAGATTTTTGGATCATCAGGGGCCAAAGGAAGATGCAAATGTGTGAAGTAGTTAGAAATCAATCAATAGGAACTGCTAGCGCCTGTAACAAATAGCAGAGTATACAGCCACTTAAAGCTGAAATTTATGGGGCTGGGAAGGTGGCTCAGTGGTAGAGTGCTTGCCTTGCATGCATGAGGCCCTGGGTTCGATTCCTCAGCACCACATAAGCAAAAAGAAAAAAGGGTAGAATGCTAGCCTTGAGCTGAAGAGCTGAGGGACAGCGCCCAGGCCCAGAGTTCAGGCCCCATGACTGGACTCCAGAAAAAAAAAAGCTGAAATTTATGATAAATATTTGATAAACTTTTCAAAGATTTAGCTAAGTATTCTGCACCCAAAATCCATTTAAGAACCAGAGCATGCCGGGTGCTGGTGGCTCACGCCTGTAATCCTAGCTACTCAGGAGGCTGAGATTTGAGGATCGCAGTTCAAAGCCAGCCCGGGCAGGAGAGACCATGAGACTCCTATCTCCAATAAACCACCAGAAAAAAACCGGAAATGGCGCTGTAGCTCAAGTGGTAGAGCGCTCGCCTTGAGCTGAAGAGCTGAGGGACAGCGCCCAGGCCCAGAGTTCAAGCCCCACGACCAACCAAAAAAAAAAAAAAAAAAAGAACCAGAGCATGAGACACTGGTGTTGAGATGGAAGGTACGTGGGGGTAGAGTAGATCAGATAATTGATGGGGCCATGAGGAGAGGTCAGAAGTGGGAATTCAGAGGTCAGGGATGAGAGGTCAGAGGTGAAGAACAGACCTTGTGGTTTCTCCCATGCTTGTCGAGGAGGGAGATAATGGACTTGATGTGGTTCTCTTGGATGATATTCAGGACTTCAGGACTCTCGATAAGGACGCAGTACAGCACCTCCAGGATTCCTGTCAGGTACCAGGGGAGAGTTGAGGTGGTGTGATCCTCTTTTCCCTGACCCCTTTCCCAATGCCCTGGCTTCCCCTACCAGATGAGGCCTCTAGCCGATCCAGCTTGCTGACCAGCCAGTCCAAGTTGGTGGAGAAGAGGGCACAGTTGGTACGATTGCCACGGATCAAAGAGGCTGTGGGTGACAGAGGCATCAGACTGTGTGGAACTGCGTATCGGAGATGCTGTTGGGGAAGTTAGGACTCAGGCTCCTTACCCAGGAGTTCATACAGCAGGTTCACAATCTCTTTCCAGGACTCAGCCGCCTCCTCCCCTGCAAATTCGGCGAAGTGGGCAGCGGTGGTGTAGACATTCAGGCGGTCAATGCAATTCAGGACCAGGGAGAGCATCCCCTGGGGTGGAAGAAACAAAGAGGTCACAAGCTAAGTCCCAGTACCTCCCTTTCTTCTCTTTCTTAAATTTGCTAAGAAAATCTCTCCAACACTTAGTTTCAACCGAGTCTCATTAATCCCATGTTCCCATTCCTTCCCACCACCTTCTTCTCCTCCTTGCCTCCCCAGATCTGTTCGTCCTCTTTGCCTCTATCTCCAACATAAAATGCTCCTACTGAATCAAGGTTTCTACCAGGTGCTGGTGGTTCACTTCTGTAATCCTAGCTACTTAGGAAAATGAGATCTGGAGGATGGCAGTTCAAAGCCAGCCAGTGAAGAAAAGTACACCAGATTCCATCTCTAAAATTACCAGTAAGAAGCAGGGCTAGAGGCTTGGCTCAAGTGGCAAAGTACCAGCTGAGCAAATAAGCTCAGCAAATACAAAACTCTGAGTTTAAATGATGGTGCTGGAAAAATAAACTAAATAAGATCAAATTTTCTTTTTCTGAAGCATAGGCCAAGCACATTGACCTCAGGACCTTTGCATTTACTTGCTTTTCTACCCATTGTTCTAAGTATACACCTGGCTTCCTTTCTTTTTTTTTTTTTTTTGGGGGGGGTCCGGTCGTGGGGCCTGAACTTTGGGCCTGGGCGCTGTCCCTCAGCTCTTCAGCTCAAGGCTAGCACTCTACAACTTGAGCCACAGTGCCACTTCCGGCTTTTTTTTTTCTTTTTGCTTATGTGGTGCTGAGGAATCGAACCCAGGGCCTCATGCATGCAAGGCAAGCACTCTACCACTGAGCCACCTTCCCAGCCCCTTCCTTTCTTCTTTTATGTCACCCTGACTAAGCAGTCTAGTTTAGATGGCAAAACCCCAGCATTCTCTAGCCCTTCCCTGATTTTTCTCCTTTGCCCTTATCACCATATAGTTTGCCATACATTCATCTATTTATTTGTTTTGTTTTGAGCCAGGGTTCTTCTATGTAGCCAAAACTAACCCCAAAACTTTCAGTCCTCCTTTCTCAGACACACCAGTACTGGAATTACAGGCATGTACCACTATGTCTTATTTATATTTGATCATATGATTCTCCCTTGCCACATCAACTTCCTAAGGGCAGATTTGATCTGCTTTGTTCACAGCTGGATTATTGGATGAGTGAATGACTGCTATTTAATCTTTCTGAGTTTTGAAGTGACCCATCTGTACCATGAGAATTACAACCTTCCATGTGTATAGCCATAGCAAAAGCTAAATACAAGGTAACAATAATCACAAACATTAGCATCCATTCTATATTGTAACTATTGTAAGTGCCTTGTCTATATATAGCAATTCCATTCTGGCCATAGTTTCATTGTTACTATATTTATTTACTGGTCTTCCTCCCCAGCAGATATGGAGCCCTTGGAGAGGAAGAGTCTAGCTGGATGCTTTTGAATAGATGGTGCTCCCCAACTCCTGACAACACTTAGGATCCCCTGATCTTCCTCCCACCCCTTCTCACATCTCTAGCTGCCCCATACCTCTTGTATTCTGACTTAACCTTTACTGGTTTTCCTCCCTACACTCTCCTTCTTCTGGCCTCTGGCCCCATCCTCCCATCCCACACCACCTAGAGAACCAGAAGCCCTAATTAGCTCAACCTCTGATTTCTCCCCAGGCCTATCTCCCAGGCCTGGCCTTGTTTTTGAGCTTCTTCACTTAGAGGCCTTCTGATCAATGCAGGAGCGCACCTACTTAAGGCTCCGCCCCCCAGCTCCCATTGGCCCAGGTCCTTCCTTGTGCTCCTCCCCTCCCCCCGCCCAATCCCTGCGCCATTTATCTTGCTCTGTCCCGAGGCCCCGCCTTCTTTAGGCCCCACCCTCACCCTTTAGGCCCCACCCACCCCACTTGCACCTCACCTCCTCCTGGAAGAGGCTCTGGCGGTTGCGTAAACTGCGCAGCTTGCTCTGCTTCTCCTCATGCTGAAGCTCCTCTGAGGGAGGCTCAAAGTAGCCGATGAGGTCCTGCAGGCTCAGAATGACACCCTCGATGGGCAGCGCAGAGCCAACAGGCGGTCCTGAGCCCCGTGGCTTCCCGCTGAAGCTATCCAGGCCCCTACCACAAGGACCACAGCTGTCAGTCAGGGCCAAGCACATCCCACTGTCATCACCCAAGAGCACCCCTCTGTCATTGCCCAACGCTATCAACACTCCTACAGACTCCCCCTTGTAAAGAGGATGAGATATGGAAAGGCAGGGGGAAAGGCCTTGGCTGGAGGTCACATAGTAGAAACTGAGACTGAGACTCACCTGATTACACAGGGAGTTTATGGAAAGAGGAGTAAGGACGGGTTCAGAGTTGAGGGTGGTAGTACTCAGGGTGTAAAGAGTGTTGAGCAGAAGTATGAGGTCAAAGATCACCACTGTCTAGGTCAGATTTAGGGCTCAAATGTACAGAGGGTATAGGATTAGAGATTAGGGATTGTATGTGTTAAACAGGGCTGAGGCTGCCTCTTAAGATCTCTAGAGATGGAAGTGGTCAAGTGCATGAATACAAGAAACTGGGGGTCACTCCAGGGCAGAAGGCAGCAGGGGGGTACACCTACTTGATGAACTGGTTGTACAGGCCAGCCGTGCTGTAAATCATCCGGGCAGCCTGTGACTCCTCCTGCTGGCAGCGGGTCAGTGACAGGGCATCATCCATGTGACCTTCCTGATGTAGCATGGCCTGAGGGTTCCACACAAAGCATTCAGGAGGGGGTCAGCCACCCAGAGTCATAAGCCCCAGCTTTCTCCCATGTTCTTTGTCTGCCTTTCCTTTTCTCTGTCTTTATCTCTTAGTAGGGCTGAGGCTCAAGTTGCCTCGTGCTGGCTAGACAGGCACTCCATCACCTGAGCTGTCCCTAGTCCTTTTTTCTCTTTCCCCTCCCCATCCCCCCAGACCTAAGGCTTGCACTCAGGGTCTGGGCACTGTCCCTAAGCTTCTTTGGCTCAAGGCTAGCACTCTACCACTTGAGCCACAGCACTACTTTCAGCTTTTTCTGTTTATGTGGTGCTGAGGAATTGAACTCAGAGCTTCATGCGTGGTAGGCAAGCACTCTACCACTAAGCCACAATCCCAGCCCTACGCTTTATTTTTGAGATGGTGTCTTGAGCTAACTTTGCCTGAGCTGGCCTTGGACCTTAACCCTCCTGTCTCCCTCCAGCATAGGTAGGATTACAGGGGTACACCATCACACCCAGTCCATCTGCCTCTATCTCTGAACCTCATTTTCACAAAGGCTTCCCACGTATTGCTCTGTGTGTGTGTGTGTGTGTGTGTGTGTGTGTGTGTGTGTGTGTGTGTGTGGTACTGGGGTTTGAACCACCACCCTAGCCCAACTACCAGCCCCACTCTCTGCCCAGAAACACTTATGCCCCTCCCCCTGCAGAAGCCCACCTTCTTCTTGAGCACACCAAGCCGCAAGGCCTTGGTATCAGGGGCAGCATAAGTGAGCCACAGGCCTGAAGCCACATGCTGCACAAAGCACAACGATTCTCCGTACTTGATCTCAGGGGGGCCCATGCCTTCCACATCTCGCTTGGGGGCCACATCCAGCTTCTCCTGCAGGGGAAATGGACAGCATTCAGCCTCCTCTGCCTATGTGTTAATGGGGGGAGCCCCAGAAGAGGCTGGTGTGGGCCCAGGTGAAGGAGGTCACCCTGACCAGAACTGACCTTGGAGATACGGAAGCAAAAGGAAGTGGCCTTGGTGTGGGCCTTGCTGGCATCCACCACGACCAGGCCCTGGTCCTCAGTGAGTGCCAGGTACCGCCCAGTGGTCACATGCCGGATTCGCAGAGGCTGGCCCCAGCGTAGGTGGCTCCCACTCCAACTGTTCAGGGTGACAGCAAGGTTGGGGGGGGGTCAGAGCCCCTCCATCCCTAGTCCTACCATGGTCACTATAGACTTGGCCCAAACCTTTTTAAGCCTCCAACTCATCTTCTAGCATTCCCTAAACCTTTCTTGGGTCCCTCAAATATCTCTTCGGACCCACTCATCCTCCCTCAGGAATTCCAACCCTCTTTAAAATGCTAGAAGAAGCCAGGTGCTGGTGGCTCACACCTGTAATCCTAGCTACTCAGGAGGCTGAGATCTGAGGATCGCGGTTCAAAGCCAGCCCGGGCAGGAGAAACCGTGAGACTCCTATCTCCAATAAAACCACCAGAAAACCAGAAGTGGCGCTGTAGCTCAAGTAGTAGAGCACTCGCCTTGAGCTGAAGAGCTGAGGGACAGCGCCCAGGCCCAGAGTTCAAGCCCCATGACTAACCAAAAAAATAAAAATAAAATAAAATAAAATGCTAGAGGATTCTTCCAAGTTCACCAGAGGTTTCTAATACCCCCAAGTTTATCCAGATCCCATACACTCCCCCAGACTTTCACTCAAGACCCCATTTCTTCATTGGAAGTCCACCACTCTCCCCAAGACCTTCTCCCTTTTCCAGAATCCTTGAGGACTTCCATATCATTCTTTGGGCTCTCCAGATGCCCCCCCCCAAAAAAAGACTTTTCATCCTCTTCCTTAGATCTTCCTTCAAGAAATTCCCTCAGGAGACCCCAGCCCTTCCTCCAGTCTTACCCCCCCCCACACACACACCTGATTCTCAGCGGCTCCAGCCTCCAGAGAGAGCGAGCATGGGTACACACAGATCCTCCCTCGTAGTAGACAAGTCTGGGGAGACACAAGACAGAGTGAGTTCCCAAGAATCTTGGTCCTCAATCCCATCAACATGGTTTGTTATAGTTTGGATCTTTAATATCACCCAGTGATTCATGTGTTAAAGGCTTGGTCCCCAGTCTGTGCCACTACCGGAAACTTTGGGCCGTGGAACATAATAGAAGGAAGTGAGGTCATTTCATTGAGACTGAGCCATTTAAGAGAATATGGAGACTTTTTTTTTTTTTTTAGGTCATGGGGCTTGAACTCTGGGCCTGGGCACTGTCCCTGAGCTTGTCTGCTCCAGGCCAATGCTCTACCACTTGAGCCCCAGCACCACTTCCAGTCTTCTGGTGGTTTTTTGGAAATAAGAGTCTAAAAAACTTTCTTGCCCAGGCTGGCTTGGAACCATGATCCTCAGATCTTAGCCTTCTGAGTAGCTAGGATTACAGGTGTGAGCAACCAGCACCCAGCTTGGAGACCCTTTCAATTGCCCACTGACCTCAGCCACTTGTCTCTTCCATGATGTCCTATACTGCCACAAGTCCAAAACAGGGCCAAGCAATGATGGACTAAAACCTTGGAAACTATGACCCAAAATAAACCTTCCCTCTTACCAAGTTGACTGAGGTATTTTGTCAGAGTATCAGGAAGGTGATTGACACAAGAGTCCTAGCCCTCTAGGCAACTTTCCTCCCCAACCCCCATCCTAGACTTCAGGTCCCTTGCTCTTGTACCCAACCCAGACCTGCGCTGGTCATCACTGTCAGAAGGAGAAATGGTCAGACATTCATCCATGTGTCCGTGAAACAGACGGAGGACATGTCCCCCTGTCACATAGCCTGGGGAGAAGAAAAAGAAGTTGGTTGTTGTGAAGTGTAATGTGAGTTTGGAAAGACCTACCTGAGTTTTGTAGTTAGAAGTTGATGGGCCTGGATTTGGGCGTTTCCTGGTTTGAATTTCAACTTGGTTTGGGATTCTGAAGTTTGGAGTCTGAATCAAAGTTCTTTTGATTTTGTGTTGGTTGTGGGGCTTGAACTCAAGGCCTGGGTGCTGTCCCTGAGCTCTATTTGTTCAAGATTAGAGCTCTACCACTTTGAGCCACAGCACCACTTCCAGTTTTCTAGTGGTTAATTGGAGATAAGAGTCTCAAGAAAGGGCTGGGAATGTGGCTTAGTGGTTGAATGCTTGCTTGCCTAACATGTGTGAAGCCTTGGTTCAATTCCTCAGTACCACATAAACATAAAAAGCCAGAAGTGGCACTGTGTGGCTCAAGTGGTACAGTGCTAGCCTTGAGCAAAAAAAAAAAAAGAAGAAGAAGCTCAGGGACAGTGCCCAAGCCTTGAGTTCAAACTGCAGGCCTGGCCAAAAAAAAAAAAAAAAAAGTCTCACAGACTTTCTTGCCCAGGCTGGCTTTGAACCACGATCCTCAGATTTCAGCCTTCTGAGTAACTAGGATTATAGGCATGAGCCACCAGTGCCTGGTTCTATTCTTTTCCCTTTTGGTCCAAGACTGGAACTCAAATTCAGTACCTAATGATTCTGCTCAGTGGCTAGTGTTCTACCAACTGAGCCAGGTCTCCACCACCAGCTTTTAATTTTTTTTGCCAGACCTGGGGCTTGAACTCTGGGCCTGGTTGATGTCTCTGAGCTTCCTTTGCCCAAGGTAAGTACTACTTGAGCCACAGTGTCACTTCCAGCTTTTTTGACTAGTTTATTGGAGATAAGAATCTTATGGACTTTCCTGCCTCGGCTAGCTTCAAACCACCATCCTCAGAGCTTTGTCTCCTAAGTAGCAAGGATTACAGGCATGAGCCACCAGCATCTGGCTCAGCTTTTGATTTTTTAAGAAGTGGACTGAAATTTTCTAAGTCTGAGACTGGTAGGATAAAGCCTGGGAGTCTGAATTAGAATTCCTAGGTTGGAAATCTGAAATTTGATTTCAAGGGTTGAAGATAACTGTTCTTATTCTCTTTTTTTCTTCTCTTCTTTCCTTCTTCCTTTCTTTTTTTCTTTATTTCTTCCTCTTTTTTTTTTTTTTTTGGTCAGTTGTGGGCCTGAACTCTGGGCCTGGGCACTGTCCCTCAGCTCTTCAGCTCAAGGCTAGTGCCCTACCACTTGAGCCACAGTGCCACTTTTGGCTTTTTTTTTGTTTTTTGGGGGGTTTTTTTGGGGGGGTCTGGTCGTGGGGCCTGAACTCTGGGCCTGGACGCTGTCCCTCAGCTCTTCAGCTCAAGGCTAGCGCTCTACCATTTGAGCCACAGCGCCACTTCTGGCTTCTTTCTTTCTTTTTTTTTTTTTTTGGGTCCAGTTGTGGGGCCTGAACTCTGGGCCTGGGTGCTGTCCCTCAGCCCTTCAGCTCAAGGCTAGCACTCTACCGCTTGAGCCACAGCGCCACTTCCGGCTTTTTTCTTTTTTCTTATGTGGTGCTGAGGAATCGAACCCAGGGCCTTGAGCATGCAAAGCAAGCGCTCTACCACTGAGCCACCTTCCCAGCCCACTTTCGGCTTTTTCTGCCTATATGGTGCTGAGGAATCGAACCCAGGGCCTCATGCATGCGAGGCAAACACTCTACCACTGATCCACCTTCCCAGCTCTTTCTCTCTCTCTATTTTTCTTTTCTTTTTTGTTGTTGTTGTTGTTGCCAGTACTGGGGCTTAAACTCAGGTTAGTGCTTTCACTTACTCAAAGCTGGCATCTACCATTTGGTCCACAGCTCCACTTCCAGAATGTTGCTAGTTAATTGGAGAGCCCCACAGACTTTGCTGTCTGAGTTGGCTTTGAACCCCAATCCTCAGATCTCAGCTTCCTGAGTAGCTAAGGTTAAAGGCATTAACCACTGGTCCATAGTTCTGTACTTATTTTTGAACACTGGAGTCTGAGGATGAGCTCCAAATCTGATACTCAAACCTTTGGATCTAGACAGGCACCGGTGGCTCATGCCTGTAATCCTAGCCACTGAGGCTGAGATCTGAGGATTGTGGATCAAAGCCAACCCAGGCAGGAAAATCCGTGAGACTCTCATCTCCAATTAACCACCAGAAAATCCAAAGTGGTGCTGTAGCTCAAGTGGTAGAGCTCTCACCTTGAGCTGAAGAGCTGAGGGACACACCCAGACCCAGAGTTCAAGACCCACGACAACCCCCCCCAAAAAAAAGCTTTGGATCTGAATGTAGGATCTTACCTTAAGCATTTGGTGTAGGCGATTTGGGGACTAATTCTTTGCAGTCTGAGTTTGGGGGTTGGGGATATGAGATCTAGGGGTCAGTTGGGATCAGTTGGCGATCAAGGTATACAGATAATAAATTGGAAATCTAGGTGTTAGGGCTAAGGATCTGAAGCTCAGTTTGGGCAGAGCTGAAGGGCAACACTGAGGGTCTGTTTTGGGAACTTCAATTTAGGGGTCAGAGGTCTGGGGGGTCTCACCCTCTTCACAGCAGGAACAGATAGGGTTCATGTTCCACAGAGTCTGCATGAAGGAAGCATCAACCTGGAGCTCCCCACTGGCTGTGGACAGGTGCTGGGGGACCCCCAAGTTATGGTAGTCAGAGATGATGGGTTGAAGTTGGCAATGATCCAGAGTCCAGGGCAGAAATTGAGGATGGATGCAAAAAAAAAATGAGATAGAAAATTGCAGATCACAAATACAAAAAGCAAGCTCAAATAAGGGGCTGGGAACACTGGAAGTCAAGATATTTAGGGGTGTCCACTTTGGCAACAAGTATACTAAAATTGAAACAATACAGAGAAGATTAACATGGCTCCTGCGCAAGGATGACACGCAAATTAATGAAGCATTCCATATTTTTTTGTTGCTTTGTATGTCCCTTCCCTACAGTAAAACCCTTGTTTTCACTGTATTTGATGTTGCTATACTTTGTGGAGGGGAAGGGAAAAAACAAATTATTTAAATAGGGATACAGGTGGACCCATTGCAACAATGAGATGTACAAGACTATGTCGAAAAACAAACTTTACAACTTTGGCAAGGGGTGGGGGTGGAATGGGAAGGGATAGGAAGGGGAAACAAAGGAGGAGGCAACAATGCTTGATAAGAAATGTACTCATGACCTTGCCCGTGTAATTGTAACCCCTCTGTATGGTATTTTCACAATTAAAAAAAAAAGATATTTGGGGCTAGGAAACAGATGGGAAAAATTAAAATGAAGAGATAGAGCTACTCCCATAGGCTCTGAATCCTGGTAGCTGTAGGACCCACTGTTGGAGGCGAGTTCAGCTTACCAGGTAGCGCTCGGAGGAGACACTGACAAGAATGAGATCATCTCCAACTCGAACCTTCTCTCCTTCAGACCTTTGTTTGGAGGCTGGGTGCATTGTCCACCAACAGGCTTCTCCTATGGGTGGGGACAGGATGGAGGTAAGGTGGCTATTAGGATGCTATCTACTCATAACACTCTTCACTAGCCATCCAGCTCCCCAGGCCTCAGACCCATAAATCTACCATTTCTTCCACAAAGTCTCCACCCAGAATCTCCCCACCAAATCTTCCTGGGTAAAATGTGTCCATTCATGAACTCAGTCCCTTTGTCCCAAAGTCCTGCTGGACTCTGGAGTTCTGGGCACTTTTGTATCCTGACTTCCAGCCTCAAGGGAGGGGCCCTTCACTCTCCCATTGCTGCACCTGTTGCATCCTCCTGTAGTCCCACATCGAAAGCCAGCTTGTCAGTCAAGGAGCGGGAGGTAGTAAGACAACTCAGGTACTAGGGTTGGAGAGGGGGGTCAGTCTCCTTCTGGCAGACCTGCCCCCTGCCCCCTGCCCCCTGCTTGAACCTCATGTTAATGCACTTACCATGCGACTGTGTGCATGCCGGAGCAGGATGGCATGGCCATACAGAAGTGTTCTATGTCCTCCACCCTGGGATGACTGTAGGGGGGTAGGAGGCACAGAGTAAGCACAGAACCCCAGATTCACAAGACCCCACCCAAAATAAAACATCTTCCCTATTCACAGGCAGGCATATGATCTCCATCAAATACTGGGCTCAAGTCTGGAGTTCAGTGAGCCTCAGTTTCCCCATCCATGGAATTAGGGACTGTGTCTCTAAGAAGCCCAGGGAAGGGGTATTTGACATTCTCTGAAACCTCTTTTTATCTTAGCCTCTTTTTATCTCATCAACCCAAAGTCACCCAGCGAGAGTGAAGAACTCATCTGACATGCCTGGGAACACTCAAAGAACCCCAGGATTTTGTGTTTCATGGGCCTCAGCCCCCTGGGCTTTCATATATCATAACATGGCTGAGCTGTAGCCTCAACGGGCTGGGAAAGTACTAGCAGGTGTTCAACATGTGGCTTTGACCTCTAGCAATAAGGTGACCAGCTGTGCTGCCTGCCACAACTGCCCCTTCCTGAGCACAAGGAGACTCGGCCCTTTGGATGAGCCCTTGATGGCATCATGCCCCCATCATGGCTCTCACATGCCCATGCCGAGGGTGCCATGTGATGGGACCACATGATCACATGGTGGACCCACTCCTGGACCGGAGGGGGCCTACACATAGGATGGAAGGAGGTGAGGGAAGACATCCCATGCGGTGAGGATCTGGGGGTCAAGGTTTGGAGGGGAAAGTTTGGGAAAGAGGAGAAAGGATCAGGTGGGGATAATGAGGGGCTCAGAAGCCCTTACTCCTTCCTTCCTGGCTTGTTCTGGACCACAGTCCCTGACAACTGGAGTTGGGGAGAGCCCCCAAAGCCCCTGTGTGCAGGAAGTGGGCCTGAGCAGCAGGCCTGAGAACAGAAGGAGTGGACAGATGACACCCAAGGCTAGACCTACCCACTTATCCAAATTGAGGGCCTGTGGGGCAGGGCAGAGAGAGGAAGAAGAGCATATGGTAAATGACACCCCCTCCCAGTTGCCCTCCTCCATCCCTGTCCCTTTGTCCTGATCCCTGGGGAGGGAAGGAGAGAGCCTCACCTCTACGCCAGCCTCTACAGTGTTAGCCAGCATCTCCTGCAAGGCTCGGACTGACAGAGACTGCTCCAGGATGAAGCAGCAGATGGCCAGGTCAGGGGGCACATTCTAGAGTGGGACAGACAGACGTTAGTGGGGGAAGGAGGGCAGAAGATTCCTGAGTGCCATTTCCTGGCATGGCAGACTCCCTTCTGTTATCTGAACAACCACACTCCTAAGACACCCACAAAAGGACCTGCTAACACCCCCCTTAGCCCCACCCAGGCTCTCAGACCCCCCAAACCCCAAGCCATATACTCTCAGAACACCTTCCCCTCAAACCCTTGTTACCTAACTCATCTCAAGCCCCTGTTTGCCCGTTAGGACCCCTCCTTCATGGACCTCCAGTCTCCTGCCCTTTCTCCTGAGCCCCCAACCCTCCCCCCTCAACAGGGTTCCTAAACCCTCAGGCCACCTCCCATTTTGGGGATTTCTGTGCCTTTTCCTTCAGCAGCCTTGCCTGATCTTCCACAATCTGTGTGTGTACCCCTTAGGGCCTGCAACTCCTGCTACCTCAAATCTCCATCCTTCCTCAGTCCTCACCCCTGAGACTTCAGACCCTGGCCCTGCCCTCCTCAGACCCGGATCCCTCCTCAGATTCTGTCCTCAGCCCAGGTTGCATCCTTCCTTCCTCAGACTTCACCTCTGTGACCCACAGCCCTGCCCCCAATCGCCTCAGCCCCCACTCTCCCACCTCAGGACCTGTCCTCCTCAGACTCCACCTCTGCAACTTCAAACCCTGCCCCCCAAATACCTCAGACCCTGCCTAAGTCCCTCCTCAGACCCCAGCCCCAGTCACCTCAGACTCCAACCCTTCTCACACCCAAGCCCTCCTCAAATCCCAGCCTCAGTCACCTCAGACCCCGTCACTCCTCAGGCCCCATCCCTCCTCAGACCAGGCATCTATCTCAGAACACGAACTTCCCGCCTTGAAGCCAGGCCCCGCCCCCAGCCACAGGCCACACCCTCTTCCTGTCCCGCCCCTTTCCCATCTTAGCCCCGCCCCCACGGCCATCCCCCTGCTGTCAGCCTCATCTTGCAAGGCTTGAGTTTGAATCTGGGCCCTGGGCTCCAGACTCCCTGCCCTCCTCCGGGGCAGTGGACACTGACCTGCGCGTTGCTGGTGGGCTCCAGGAAGCAGAGGCGGTTGCCGAAGCCCTCAGCCGCCAGGCAGAGCTTGAGCTGCTCCTTGAGCACGGTGGCGCTGCACTGCAGGACCACCTCGTCATCCTGGGGACACCAAGGGACAGGACCTGCTGGTGGGGACAGCCCCGCACCAACTGTCCAGGGAGAGGAATTCCCACCCACCCTTGGGGACTCAAGAGATCCTGCCTCAGTCTCCAGAGCAGCTGGGACTACAGGCATGCTCCACTGCGCTTGACTCCAGCCCAGGGGAAACTGAGATTGGTGGCAGGGGAGGACACTAATTGCCCAAGACTGCACATCTGTTAAGAGAAGGAGCTTGGCTGAGCACTGGTGGCTCAAGCCTGTAATCTTAGCTACTCAGGAAGCTGAGATCTGAAGATTGGGGTTCAAAGCCAACCTGAGTGTAGGGAAACTCCAAGAAACCCTTTATCTCCAATTAACCACCAGAAAACCAGAAGTGGAGCTGTGGCTTAAAGTGGTAGAGCACTTGAGCAAAAGTGCTCAGGGGCAGCATCTAGGCCCCGAGTTCAAGCTCTATCACTGACACAGAGAAAGAGAGAGACAGAAACAGAGACAGACAGAGAGACAGGGAGATAGAGAGACAGAGAGGTGGACGGGGGAGCTTGGATTTGAACCAGAGTCCAGCTGCTTCCAGAGGCCTCCCAAGTAGGATCCATAAGATGACCCCATTAGAAGGTGGAAAATATATACAGGCTTGTAAGTTAATTTTTTGTTGTTGTTTTAGTGTTGTTTCTCTAAAGCAGAGTCTCATTTGGTAGCTCATGGATTGGCCACAATCTCTCCATCCTTCTGCCTCAGCCTCCCAAGTGCTGGGATTAGATAATGAGGTCCTATCAACACTACTGCGTCTGATTTTGGTAACTGATTGCATTGTAGTTTTGGAAGAAACAACGTTCTTTTTTTTTTCCTCAGTCAATCATGGGGCTTGAACTCTGCGCTGTCCCTCAGCTCTTCAGCTCAAGGCTAGTGCTCTACTACTTGAGCCACAGCACCACTTCTGGTTTTCTGCTGGCTAATTAGAGATAAGAGTCTCACAAACTTTCCTGCCCAGGCTGGTTTTGAACCTCAATCCTCAGATCTCAGCCTCCTGAGTAGCTAGGATGACAGGTGTGAGCTATGGGTGCCCAGTGAAACACCATTCTTATACACTGAAAGTAGCACAGGTCTAGGTATTTTCCTCAGGGGAAAAAATATAGAGAGGAGGAAAAGGTTAAGTAGACATAGCAAACATTAACAGTTGGGACAATGACTGAAGGCTAAATGGAATGTGCATTCTTTGAACTCAACTCCAACTTAATTTCCAATTAACCTCAAGATGACTAATTTTTTGTATGTGTGCCAGTACTGAGGCTTGAACTCAGGGCCTCACACTTTCACTTGATATTTGAACTCAAGGCTCCAATTAGCCATCCCTCTCCCCTCCCCAAAAATGAATAACAGAGGCTGGAAATATGGCTTGGTGGTAGAGTGTTTACCTAGCACACATAAAGCACTGGGTTCAATTCCTTAGTACCATATACACAGAAAAAACCAGAAGTGGTTTTGTGGCTCAAGCCTTGAGCAAAAGAAGCTCAGAGACAGTGCCCAGGCCCTGAGTTCAAGCCCCAGGACTGGAAATAAAATAAAATAACAGAAATAGAACTATGGTTTAAGTGGCAGAGTACTAGCTTTGAATAAAAATGTTAAGTAAGAGTGCAATACCATCCCACATCCACACAAAACATAGTAATAATAACAACGACAACAACAATAAAGTAAAATAAAGTTCCTTTTCTACCACAGCTTCCTACCCCTTACCACCAAAACCTCCTTCAAAGAGGCCCGGGGCCTACAAAGAATCTGTATTATTATCCAGCTATCTCCCCACTAGGAGTTCTGACTTGGGCCTGGCTTTGAGAAACATCAGCCTGAGCAAGTTAAGAGGTCATCTACCATCCAAGGGAAATGAAACCAGGTAGGAGGGGAGTGCAGAGTGTGTTTGTAGGGGGGCGGGGAGACTGGCTAGTCTTCTTTAACATTGAAATAAAATAGAGCAAGAACAGGAAATAACAAACCTCCTGTCCTGCCTTCAGGGCAATCTACATTTTATGAAGTTGTCACTGTTAAAAATAGGTGTGTGTGTGTGTGTGTGTGTGTGTGTGTGTGTGAATGCTCACAGGGGTTGTCCATGGTTGCAAAACCTGGAGACCACCCAAATGTCCATCAGGCAAATGAACTGATAAGCAAATTGCAATATAGTCATACAATACAGTACTACTTGGCAACAAAAAGGAATGCATTTTGGATACAAGCAACACAGATAAATGTCAAAAATACACTGAGCAAAAAGAGAAAGACAGCCGGGGAACTGGTGGCTCACTCCTGTAATCCTCGCTACTCACAAGACTGAGATCTGAGGATCCTGGTTGGAATCCAGCCAGGGAAGACAAATCCACAAGACTCCAATCAAGTAGCTAAAAGCTGGAAGTGGAGTTGTGGCTCAAGTGGTAGAAGGCTAGCCTTGAGCAGAAAAAGCCAAGCGAGATCGAGAGGTCCTGTGTTCAAGCCCCAGTATTAGCATTAAAAGAAGAAAAAGAACAGGAAAGACCTTCTGCAGTAAAGGAAATATTCTCTGCTTTGATGGTGGTTACCTGAGTCTGCACAGTTTGTCAAAACTCATTAAACTAGCACGCCAAAGTGAGTATAATTTATTGTATATGCCTTAATAAAGCAGAGGTTTTTTTAAGTCTATGTTTATGTACTGGGTTGCAATATGAAATATTGGTGCAATTGGTGGGATATGATCCCAAAAAATTGTAGAGAAGTGCTGCATGAGTTCAATAACACTCAGGAAAACCAGACCCAATCTGGGGCCAAGAGAATACCAAGGCCAGGACTCTCTGGAGCCCTAACACTAGATTGCTAACTTAGTATGTCTGGATCCAGTTTTCCTCTGGTGAAAACAAAACAACTAGGCCTTCCTGGCTATCCAGAGATGCCACTTCCTGGCCTTGACCTTGAGCAAGTGATTTAACCACTTGGGGCTTGCTTTCCCTCAAATCTCTCTGGGAGATAAAGATAGGGCCCTACCTCAGAAGATAAGGCAGCAAGAATATAATTAGATACCTCCAGAGGCCAAGGCCCTGGGCACAAAGCCTGGGTACAGACCATAGGCTACCACAGCTATGGTCTTATTAGGTCCAACCCATCATATCTGTTAAGGGGCTGGGGCTGGGCAAGATTCCATCCAGTGGCTTCGCATCCAGCTGTCCCCATCCTTCACTAGCAGCCCAGCTGTTTGTTCCTCCCTCCCAGGAAACCGGACCCAGGCCACCAGGGTTCTATTCTGGGTTTGGAATGCTGCGTCAGCACTTCTTGCATGGACTCAGAGCCTTGGAGGGGGAGGGAAGAGGGCAGTAGAGGGTCAGCAGACCTGGACCAGGGGAATGATCTCCTCTCAGACTCACCCCCTCTCACCCCCAGCTGAGCCACTGGAGGAGAGGTGGAACTGGGAGGGCGCACCATTGAAAGGGAGGGTGAAGGACTGGGAGATGGGCAGCCCCTCCTTCTTTCTCTTCTCCTCTCTGTCCAGGGCCCAGAAAAACGGACTATTTCTGGGAGGGACACCTGTTGTTCTAATTCCTATCCCTGCCCCCCAACCCTCCAGCCTGTGATCAGAGATTCAGGGAGAGACAGAGCCAGAGGGACAGCAAAACACAGAGGGACTGAAGCCAAGGAACAAAAGGAAGAGCTAGAGACAAAGAGACAGAGACAGAGATAGTGGACATCCCAAAGAGATGGGTAGAGACACCACCCACAGAGTCTCATGAACCATCAGCAGACATATTTGATCCTTCTCCTCAAACCCAAAGCAGGGAAAGGGCAGGGGGGGGGGGGAGACCAAGAATCCAAGAGACCCCCAAGGATTCCCCCCAAGGATAGGAGTTAGAACAAATTTTGTCCTCCAACCCCACACCAGCCAGCCCCCTTCCCAAGAATTTAAATGGGTCAGAGCCTGGAGCAAGAAGAGAATGAGGGCTGGGTGGGGGTGGGAGGGTGGCTAAATTAAGCCCAGGAATTAGAACCACCTTCCCCAAGTGTCTGCTTGCAGGGTGGCCTAAAGGGGGGTGGGTGCTCCCTCAGTGTCCCCCACTTGTGGACTAAAGCACTAAAAATCAGAAGCAGCCGAAGGATATCCCGCTCCCCATTCTGAAATTCTCAAATCCTGCTAATTAAATCTCTGGTGAGAAAGGTGGAGGAGATATTTAAAAAGTGACAGTCGCTTGAAGTGACAAAGGAAGAGATCTCGATTCTTAGAGACCACCGGCAAACAGGACCGACATAGAGATGAAGGAAAGACTCAGGGATACCTTAGAAATAGACCCCCACCCCCAGAGACTACCCCCCGAACTCAGAGATAAGTACCGTCCGCAGGAACTGGACTTCGTCCTCGCCTTCTCCTCCGTCTCCCATGATGTCGGGGCTCCAGAAGGCCTGGGCTGAGGTCGGGGGATGGAGGGAAGGGGCTGCAGGCTGGGCAGGTGGGCTGGGGGCGGGTTGAAGTCGGAGACCTCTGGGGACGCCAGAGGCACCCGCGCGAGGTAGATGGAACTGGGAGGAGGACACGAGTGCTGGACAGAGCTGGGAAGAGGTCCCAGCCCCCCCACTGCACCCATTGGGCCGGGGCGCACGTGGCCACGCCCCTCAGTCGGAGCCTCGCACCCATTGGACCAATGTGCACTGAGCCACGCCCCTCGCTCGGAGCCACGCCCACAGACCTCAAACCTTGGCTAAAACTGGAAGGTGGGGGTAAGGTTTGTTTCACAAAGGGCAAACTGAGGCTCTAGGCAGTAAAACCTTGGCTGGATATCACACAAGAGAACCTGAATGTGTGCCATTTAAAGCCTTCTGACTTGGGGCTGGAAATGTGGCATGGTAGTAGAGTGCTAGCCTAGCATGCATGAAGCCCTCGGTTCAGTTCCTCAATACTACATAAAGAGAAAAAAGTTGGAAGTGGTGCTGTGGCTCAAGTGGTAGAGTGCTAGCCTTGAGCAAACAACGTTCAGGGACAGTGGCCAGGCCCTGAGTTCAAGCCCCAGGACTGGCTAAATAAACGCATAAAGTCTCCTGGCTTTAAAAAAAAAAAAAAAGGCATTATATGGGCATGTGTGGTGGCATATTTCCATAATTCTAGAATTTGGGAGGCCAAGACAGGAGGATCACAAGTTCAAGGCCAGCTTGAGCTACATAGTGTGTTCCAACACACACACACACATACCACACACAATGCGTACACACACACACACACACTGCACACACATGCAACACAACACACAAGGTTGAGAAGTAAGGACTCTGTGCCAGATAGTCTGGGTTTGATTCATCTTATTGAGAGCAGAAAATGAAAGCATGAGCCGAGTGCCAGTGGCTCATGCCTGTAATCCGAGCTACTCAGAAGGTTGAGATCTGAGGATCGCAGTTTGAAGTCAGCCCAGGCAGAAAAGTTGATAAAACTCTTTTTTTTTTTTTTTTTTTGGTCGGTCGTGGGGCTTGAACTCTGGGCCTGGGCGCTGTCCCTCAGCTCTTCAGCTCAAGGCAAAAGGTCTACCTCTTGAGCTACAGCGCCACTTCCGGTTTTCTGGTGGTTTATTGGAGATAGGAGTCTCACGGTCTCTCCTGCCCGGGCTGGCTTTGAACCACGATCCTCAGATCTCAGCCTCCTGAGTAGCTAGGATTACAGGCGTGCGCCACCAGCGCCCAGCTGATAAAACTCTTAACTCCAATTAACCACCAAAAAGTCAGAGGTGGAACTGTGGCTCAAGTGGTACAGCACTTGAGGGGGAAAAAAAAAAAAGCTAAGGAAGCTGGGCACTGGTATCTCACACTTATAATCTTAGCTACTCAGGAGGCTGAGATCTGAGGATCACGGTTCAAAGCCAGCCTGGGCAGGAAAGTCCGAGACTCTTTTTTTTTTTGTCAATCATGGGGCTTGAACTTTGGGCCTGGGCGCTGTCCCTCAGCTCTTCAGCTCAAGGCAAGTTCTCTACCACTTGAGCTACAGCGCCACTGCCGGTTTTCTAGTGGTTTATTGGAGATAGGAGTCTCATGGTCTTTCCTGCCTGGACTGGCTTTGAACCGAGATTCTCAGATCAGCCTCCTGAGTAGCTAGGATTACAGGCATGAGCCACCAGCGCCCAGCTCCAGGAGACTCTTATCTCCAATAAAACACCAGAAAGCCGGAAGTGGCACTGTGGCTCAAATGGTAGAGCACTAGCCTTGAGCTGAAGAGCTGAGGGATAGTGCCCAGGCCCAGACAAAAAAAAAAAAAAACTAAGGAAAAAACACACAGGTCCCTGGGTTTGAGCCCCAATACAAGCATACACACACAAAAAAAGAAAATGAAAACACATAGCTTTACCATGTCTAATTTTGTGGGAGGTTTTTGTTTTTTGTTTGTTTTTTGGTCCGGTCGTGGGGCCTGAACTCTGGGCCTGGGCGCTGTCCCTCAGCTCTTCAGCTCAAGGCTAGCACTCTACCACTTGAGCCACAGCGCCACTTCTGGCTTTTTTGTTTTTGCTTATGTGGTGCTGAGGAATCAAACCCAGGGCCTCATGCATGCAAGGCAAGCGCTCTACCACTGAGCCACCTTCCCAGCCCTGTGGGAGGTTTTTGTTTTTGTTTTATTTTCATTTTTTTCTAGTACCAGGGCCTCACACTCACTCAGCTTGCTTCTTATGCTTGTTTACTCAGGACTAGAACTCTACCACCTAATCCATACATCCAGCCCTTTTTTTGCTTATCTTGAATGTCTATTTTCAAGACTTCATTCTTAAAAAAAAATATTATACAATGTATAACAGGTTGTCAGAAGTCACAGAAATATTGGTGTTAATGAAATTACATTAAATAGCAAGTAACTTTGTACCATATTGTTGAATTATATGAATCAAAAAGGTATTACATAATTCCATATTAAGGTTAATATTATGTGATAAAATACAATATCATTTTGTGTTGTGCATCTTGGAATATACAACGGTGTGTTAAATTACTTGAATTGATTCCAAGTACTGCAAAATTAAGCATTACTTTCCATTAACATTTGCACAGAATGTAAAATGATTGTGTCATTATGACTGATATCATAAGATATTAATAGTGTCTTACTTCTGCCAGTCATGATTATATGTCTCAGAACCCTTCCCATATTGGTCTGCAGACACCTGCATTGTGGCTATGATGGCTTTGCAAGGACTTTTTTGTTGTTGTTGGTAGTGGTCATGGGGCTTGAATTCTGGGCCTGGGCACTGTTCTCAGCTCTTCAGCTCAAGGCTAGCGCTCTACCACGTGAGCCACAGAGCCACTTCCGGTTTTCTGGTGGTCTATTGGAGATAGGAGTTTCACGGCTTTTCCTGCCCAGACTGGCTTTGAACCACAATCCTCAGATCTCAGCCTCCTTAGTAGCTAGGACTGCTACAAGGACTTGTTAATGACTGACACTTTGGTTTATCTACCTAGGAACTTGGGTGGACATCACAGACATTGGGACGGCCTCCAGTTCTGAAGGGCCATTGCTATGTCCTGCACTCCCCTCTACCAGAGCTGACAAACGTGGTTTTAGTATGTGCCCCTGGAGCAAATTGCTGAGTAACTTACCCAGGCCTACAGTTCATCTAAGCAGTGCCAGAGAGTCCTGAGAAATGGCTGTTTATTGCCAGTCTTGTGGGCTCAGTCCCCCCTACTCCTAGTCTCCATTTGGGCTCCCCAAGTCAAACTTCTAATTTCTGTGTATGTGTGTGTGTGTGTGTGTGTGTGTGCACGCACGCACACATGCGTGCGGCCACCTGGGCTTGAACTCAGAGCCTGGCACTGTCTAGGAACTTATTTGCATAAGATTAGAGCTCTACCATTTCGGTCACAGCTCCACTTCAGATTTTTTTGGTAATCAATTGGAGATAAGAGTCTCACACAGTTGGGCACTGGTGGCTCACACCTGTAATCCTATCTACTAAGGAGGACTATGACAGACCAAAAGAGAAAGAAAGAAAGAAGGAAGGAAGGGAGGGAGGGAGGGAAAGAGGGAGAAAGAGAGAGAAAGAAAGAAAGAGAGAGAAAGAAAGAAAGAAAGAAAAGTCTCATGAATTTTGCTGCCTGGGCTGGCTTCAAACTGTAATCCTCAGATCTCAACCTCCTGAATAACTGTGAGTACAGCCCTTAACCACCAGTGCCCTGCTCTGATTTTAAACATAGCAAGTACAATGCATTTCCTGACATTTGATGTTTGTTCCCTAGTCCCCTCGTGTAAAGAAAATCCATATTTGCATGTTGGAACATGTATCACTTTCCCTAAGTTTTCACCTTCCTGAGGGCCCCAATGTGCTTACACACAAACACCAAAGCCTTTTCCAACCCACCTCTCTGGGGCTTTCTGGGTTACCAGAGGCACAGACACAGACATAGAAAGACAGCACAAGGGGCTGGGAAGGTGGCTCAGTGGTAGAGCGCTTGCCTTACAAGCCTGAGGCCCTGGGTTCCATTCCTCAGCACCACATAAGCAAAAAAAGAAAAAAGCCGGAAGTGGCGCTGTGGCTCAAGTGGTAGAGCACTAGCCTTGAGCTGAAGAGCTGAGGGGCAGTGCCCAGGCCCGGAGTTCAAGCCCCACGACCGGACCCCAAAAAAAAAAAAGACAGCACAAAATAAAAGCACTGCTTGGGCCAGCTTACGCCCGCCTCTGTTAGAAGTCAGGCTGGTGGTGATGGGGTGATGGGGAGGTTGATGAGAATGTTCTGCTTCTTTTCTCTTTTTCTTTTTTTTTTTGGTCAGTTGCAGGGTTTGAACTTTGGGCCTGGGCACTGTCCCTCATCTCTTCAGCTCAAGGCTAGTGCTCTACCACTTGAGCCACAGCACCACTTCTGGTTTTCTGGGTGGTTTATTGGAAATAAGAATCTCATGGCCTTTACTGCCCGGGCTGGCTTTGAACCATTATCCTCAGATCTCAGCCTCCTGAGTAGCTAGGATTACAGGCATGAGCCACTGGCACCCAGCCTGTTTCTTGATTTGAATGAATACCATGTGTCTTTGCTCAGGCAGCCTTCTTCAACCTAAATATTTAACTAATGATGTGTGCTCTTTTTTTCTTTGTACTTCAATTAAAAACTATGTCAAGCATGACACATTTAGGTAAAAGCACCAAACATACATACTCAAAAGAAAAGTCTGTTTCTAGGGGCAACAATGTACACACATAAACCTCATAGACAACAGTTCCAGTTCTCATGAGCCTTAAATAACATGTAATATCTGCCTCTCCTGCCCAGCAGAGACAGAATGTGTTATGTGGAACTTCCAGAAAGTTTACCTCCTTGTCACATTTTTATAATAAGATTATAGCACGTGGAATTAATATTTTAAAACTCATCACAGTGCATAGTGTATAGTAGATGTTACAGAAAGTGCCACAAGGGAAGTAATAAAAGTGAAATGTTTTCCAGGGTACAAATGATACCCTTCAAGCCAGGTATGGTGGTGCACACCTGTAATCCCAGCACTCTGGAAGTGAACCTTAGTGTTTTGTATGCATGAATATGCCTGTATAGAAATACTTTTTGTGTGTATGTGTTTCTACAGAAATATTAGTCATGCTTTTTTTAAACTGCTTTTATTGAAGTATGATAATAACAATCTGAAGTCTCAAGACAAAAAGATAGGGAGATAGAGAGCCTGCTAGGCTGGGGGGGGGGCAGCAACACCGGAAACCTCAGCCTGCAGGGATCCCCCGCGTGGGGGAGGGGAGCCTTTGGTCTCTCCCCAGCTTCTTCCTTCCCCCTGGCCTGAGGGTGGGCGGGGAGGGGCAGTTCCTCTTTCCTTCCCAAGCTCTGGGGAGGCCCCAGCTCCCAAGGGGTTGACAAGCAGGAGCACCAGTGAGGGGGAGGAGCTGAACCCCCAGGTCTCCCAAGGACCCCTTTCCCCAGGAAACATGAACAGGAAAGACAGCAAGAGGTAAGAGAGACACCGGCCCCCCTGCCCTGTGCTACGGTCACCGGTCACCGGAGAAGACTAGCAGCAAAGCAACCCCTTGGGAAAGTTGTGGAGGGGGGGATACTAAGGAGGGGCTAGTATGTCTGGATCCCTCACATTGGGTTAAAGGATCAAAGAGGATGCTTCTAGAATCCAGAGCTAGGCAGGGCTGCTGCACTGTACCTGGCCCTCAAATTCCTGTTTGAGCTGCCCTGGGTCGCCTTCTCTGTCCTTCTGCTCTCCATCCCAGCTCCCACAGCTGGGTGAGACACCCAGCTCTCCCCGGGGTCTATCTGCTCTCAAATCATAGTCACTGCCCACCCTCTCACCCTGAACTGGAAACTCTTAGGCTTCCGCAGGACCCAGGAGACAAGGAGTGACGTAGGCTAGGCATTTTTTTCCCCTGCCTCTTAAAACACTCCCAGCTGCTCCAGACACCACAGGGGGCTGCCCGCCAGTCCACAGGTAAGGGCCAGGCGGCTGCCAATGCCAGCAGGCGCTGCAATGAACTCCTGTCTCCTAGGCATTCTTGCCCTCCTGTCACTATATAGGACAGAGGGTGCTGGGTTCCCAGCCTGGGTAACTCCTTCAGCCTTCCCCCACCTCCACCCCCAGCATGATTCCGATTAGTAGAAGGGGTCCCCCGGGCCACTTCCCAGAGGATTGAACACTAGCAGCCTCATTTCCTGTCTGTGTGATCTTAGGTAAGTTCCTCCGTTGCTCTGCCTGTCTTTTTCTTGTATTACTAGAGTAGTCATACTGTACATTTTTAGTGAAACGGTCTAAAGCAGCGATTAGCAAATTTGAGTGCATGTCAAAAAAACAAAAAACCTGAAGCCAGGCACTGGTGGTTCACTCCTGTAATCTTAACTACTCAAAGAGGCTGAGATCTAAGGATCACAGTTTGAAGCCAGCCTGGGCAGGAAAGTCCAGGAGACTCTTATCTCCAACTAACCAGCAAAAAGCCAGAAATGGTTTAAGTGGTAGTCAACCTAGAGAAAAAAAAAAAAAAGTTCAGGAACAGTGTCTAAACCCTGAGTATAAGCCCTAGTACCAGCACACACACACACACACAAACACACACACACACCTGAATCTTGCTAGAATCATCCCTGATGTTTCAGATTCTGTAGGTCTAGGAGGCAGGGCCTGTGAATACATATATATATCAAATTCCTTGGCAATACCATTGGTGCCAATTGTGGACTATGCTTGAGAATCACTGACCCATTTAATGATCAGTGCCTGGCCTACTACCTAGTCAGCACTCAGTAAATGCCTGCTCAATGAAATTCAATACACGTATATTGAACCAAGATGTGCCAGGCAATATGGTGCCTTTGCTATGAGGGCTCCCTCTTTGTCAATTCAACACACACACACACACACACACACACACACACAGAACTGCAGACCTGGCTTCTAGTTTTCCCCATCCCTTTTTACTTTGTGCAACTTGAACTAAACTTTTCCACTTCTGGGTCACTTATCAGCCTGAGCCAATCAAATGTATTACTTAGAACCTCCAAGGAGCCAGGAATTGCTTGATTATAATGAACAAATTTCTGGGGAAGGTTCAAAGACGATCCTCATTTTTCATATGAGACAAATGAGGACTGGAGAAAGTGAGTGACTCACAAAAAAAGTCACAGAGCCAGCAGAAATGTCTCAAACCCAGTTTTGTCTGACGATGGATCTCAGTTTCTCCTCCCTCCCTCCTTCCTTCCACTACCCCTGTCTCTCCATTACTCCTCTTTCCCCACCTGGACCTGGAGCCGAGGGAGGCACAGGGCAGAGAGAAAGTTTATTTTTAAATTTTCCTTGAAGTGGCCCCAGGGACCCCGCCTAGCTCTGAGGAGCCCTAGGGAAGCCGCTGTACATTAGTACTTCCTCTCTGGGCTTCAACTGGAAGGAACCAAACAAAAGGCTGCAACCCTGGGATCTGCAAAACATCTACCTGGGGAAGGGGAATGTGATCTTACAGGGACTAAGTGTGCATATAGGGGAAAGATTTGCTTCCAAGGGCCAAACAGCCTGAGTTTTTTTTTTTAAGATGTCTGGGCTGAGGTGAAGAAACAAACTAACTAAAAAAGGTGAACTAGAAAGCCGGGCGCCGGTGGCTCACGCCTGTAATCCTAGCAACTCAGGAAGCTGAGATCTGAGGATCGCAGTTCAAAGCCAGCCTGGGCAGGAAAGTCTGTGACACTCTTATCTCCAATAAACCACTAGAAAACCGGAAGTGGCGCTGTGGCTGAAGTGGTAGAGCACTCGTCTTGAGCTGAAGAGCGCAGGGACAGTGCCCAAGCCCAGAGTTCAAGCCCCACGACCGACAAAAAAAAAAAAAGGTGAACTAGAGAGTAAAGGGGAGTCCGGAGTCTGAGGGACTGACCTTCTGGGTCATTCCTCTGGGAATGATCTTAGGGATCTCCTTCCTTGATTTCCTGGGGTATCCAGACCAAAATCTCAGCAGGGCTATGCCAAAAGGAAGTCTCTCATAAGGCCTCAGGACTATTATCAAGAGAAATATGAGGGCTGGGAAGGTGGCTCAGTGGTAAAGCGCTTGCCTTGCATGCCTGAGGCCCTGGGTTCGATTCCTCAGCACCACATAAGCAAAAAGAAGCCGGGAGTGGCGCTGTGGCTCAAGTGGTAGAGCGCTAGCCTCAAGCTGAAGAGCTGAAGGACAGTGCCCAGGCCCAGAGTTCAGGCCCCACAACCGGACCCAAAAAAAAAAAAAAGAGAGAGAGAGAAATATGAAAGCAATTCCTGCAGGAAGTTCTTAGGTTTCTTGGAGAGTCCTTAGAAGTTCTGGGGTCTTCCATGATCCCCTGGGGGATCTCGACTACTCCTGGGGGGTTTCTTTCATGGGTCTCTAGTAGTACAGGAGGAACTTGAGGATGTTACTTGTAGGAAATTTCTCTCATAGTCTTTTGAGGAATTGGGGTTAAAAGATACCCTGAGGGTCTGCCCAAAGAAAGGCACACCCATAATTCCTTGTGTGCCCACAGGAAGTCTCATCAGGAATGCTCGGGGAAGACAGGAGGGCAGGGGCGGCTTCGACCAGCCCGACGCCACAAGACCTGCCCCAGTCCCAGAGAAATCAGCAAGGTCATGGCTTCCATGACTCTGGGCGTGCTGAGTGAGAACAGCTGCAGTGAAGATGAGCTGCTGGAGAAATGCATCCAGTCCTTCGGTGAGTGTCCCCAGGCCTGGCTAGTCTCCCCACCCATGCATTCCCCTTGCTCCGCGAATGGCTGCATAAAATGGACATGTGATGACTCTTAATCTTTCTGGGTAAGACAAAAAACACCTGTACTTGTTTGCTCCTAAAGTGAGTGGGGTAGGAAGCTGTGTTCAACAAGAAGAAGAAGGTGTGCTTGCCCAAGCTTGCCACAGATAAGGAAACTAAGGCACAAAAGAAGTTATATTGTTTGCTCAAGTGCACGCAGGGCATCACTGGCAGAGCCGGCATTAGACTCAGATAGTCCCTTCAAGCCCTGGAAGTCAATCCATTGCCCAGAAGCCATTCTGATGGAAATTTCCTCCTCAACCCCAGACTCAACTGGCAACCTCCGACGTGGGGACCACATTCTCAATATGGTGCTGGCCATGCACAACTGGGTACTACCTTCTGTTGAGTTTGCTGGTCGTCTGTTGACTTCATATCCTCCCCAGGATCATAAGCTGAGGGTAGAGGGTGGAGGGCAGACATGTGAGCACCTGGGAGATAGGAACAGGAGGTGAGGGCAGGAGGCTGGGATGTCTGAGAAAAAGCCTTGACCAGAACTCAGATACCAGAAGGCCACAGAAGACACACAGCAGCAGAGGCAGCTGCAGATCTGCTACCTGGTCAGGTAGGTCTGGGCCAAGCCCCTCAATCCTATAACCCAAGACTCCTATCCAAAAAAATAAAAATACTTCTCAGAGATTCCCCAATCCCATTCCCCCACAGACCCACCCAAGACTCAAAATCTAAGACTTCCCTGGCTTAGTTCCTAAGGCCCTCCTATCTCTGCTCTTTAGAATCACACTTCTTTGAGATCCCCCCCCAACTAGATCCCATAGACTGTCTCCCAACTGAATCAAGAGACTTCTAGCTCTGACCCACCCCCCCCCAAGCTCCCACCTCCCACAAACTCCTAGGACTGCTTCATTCTGTTCCCCTCAAAAATCTCACCCCTGTCTGCTTCTTGAGCCCCACCCCCACCCCGCCAAACCATCCTACTTCCAAGAGATTCCCCATGTCCATCTTCCATAGATTGCCCCCATCTGGTGTTGAGACAACCCTCAAACTTTGGGCTGGATGTGGTGGGGCACACATGTAATCTCAGCTACTTGGAAGGCAGAGTTAGAAGGATCACAATCCAAGACCCAAAGCAAAGGGGCAAGATAGTATCTGAAAAACAAACTAAGGGAGAAAAGGGTTAGGAGTGTAGCTTAGCTAGCTCAAAACCCTGAGTTCAATCCACAGTACAGAGAGACAGAGACAGAGATAGAGATAAGAAGAACCTCAGTTTATCCTAGAGATTGTCCCATCCTGGCACACTTCCAAATCCTGACTCCCAAAGATCTCTCTCTCTTTGTCTCTCTCTTTCTCTCCCCCTTCCTCTCTCTCTTCCCTCCCTCCCTCCCTCTCTCTGTTGCACACACACACACACACACACACTCACAGAGAAACCTATAACCCAGTACCTACAGAATCTTCAGCTGAAGACCCCTGTAGTGGTCTCCCCCCACCCCCACCCCAGCCTCACCCTGATCTAAACCACTGTCAGGTACTGGCTGAACAAGCATCCAGAAGCTTTGCACCAGGAGCCCCAGTTAGAAGAAGTCATAGGTCGCTTCTGGGCCAAGGTGGCCCAGGAGGGGACCTCTGCCCAAAGGAACCTGGGAGACGACACCCACCTGTGAGTCGGCCTCATGCCCCTTTCCGTGTCCCCCATCCTGCCATCTCCATACCCCCTGACCCTCAACTCAGCCATTTCAATATTCTATTCTTCTTCATCCCCAGCCTGAGCCCTGGTGGCCCTGGCCCCCCTCCTCTCATGAGCAGCCCAGGCCTGGGAAAAAAGCGCAAAGTATCCTTGCTTTTTGACCACCTGGAGACAGAGGAGCTGGCTCAACATCTCACATACTTAGAGTTCCGGTCCTTCCAGGCTATCACGGTGAGAATCCCTCTCCACACTCCTCCTCAAACAGGGTAGAGATGTGGGATGCTGCATGGGCAGCTGAGATTGCAAGCTCTTAAAACTGTTAAACTTGGCAGCCAGAGGCTCCAGGAAAATAAGAGCACAGAGTCCTTGGGTTCAAATCCTATCCGCTCCTTCTTACCTGGGTAACTAGTTTCTCAACATCTCTGGGACTCATTAATAAACTAGAGGTCATAATACTTCATCAAATGGCTAGAGGAATGAAAGCTCTCATTTTAAAATGCTTAGTATGGGCTGGGAATGTGGCTCAAGTGGTAGAGTGCTAGCCTTGAGCAAAAGCAGCTCAGGGACAGTGCCCAGGCCCTGAATTCAAGATCGAGGACTAGCAAAAAAAAAAAAAAAGACTTAAAAACTGGTTAGTTGGGCTGGGAAGGTGGCTTAGTGGTAGAGTGCTTGCCTTGCATGCATGAAGCCCTGGGTTCAATTCCTCAGTACCACATAAGCAGAAAAAGCCGGAAGTGGCGCTGTGGCTCAAGTGGTAGAGTGC